GTTCTCCACACCCTATGGTCGTATGTGCCAGTTTAGGTTCAGTATTGATTTAATATTCAAAAGGAGATCCACTTGCAGATGCTTTCCTGCTCGTAACAAAATAGCGAGAATGGAGGATGAGGGAAATCTTAATTAAACCTATCGGCATAGATCCATACCATGTTCCAAGGGTTGTCTTAAAAAGTGTTAAGCAAAGTTATTTTTTCGTTGCATCACTTTTTCCCGGTGCCCACAAAGAGTCTTTGAACGAGGATGGTATCAAATTGTAGTATAGATATAATCAGTTGCAGTGTACCACGACGCGGGGTAAAGATTATAAGTCAAGCACTGGATACAGAAGGATAGGCCAAGTGTACCTCAAGAAACCCTTTTATCGTGATAGATTCTCAGCCATTCAGGATATACATTCCTGTGTATCACTCCCGTACATAGCTTGTTTTGCCGGGTCGTTGACAGCCAAACATATATATATACTTTTAGAGGTCACATCAACATTTTTCTCACGAACTAGATCAAGGCAGTACGCGAGAGTATGTCCTCGTGTCCATGGAGGGGATCGTAGAAGATCACGATTTTGTCCTTATCCCACAGCCAGGCTTTGGGCATTCTTGTACAGGTAGATAAAGTTTATCGAGAAGCCCGCTGGAAAATCTATAGAAAGCTTCTATAAACTGCGACGGGGAAAGATATAAAAGCTATGATCCATAGCCCCTAAACTTTTCTCTAGCACTGGGCGTATATCTAGTCAATCCCACTTCCAATACGGTTGGCTACACACATAGGTCTGGTTGCCGTGGGATTGGGACCAAATACACTGTATAGTGATGACTACTACACCCCTCGGACAGCTAAAAAAAAGTTCTCGTCCCCCGAGCCGGAATAGCCGGCGACCTTCCGGTTACAAGGTAATCCATTGCAGCCGGACGCCATATCCAACTAGACCATCAGGGGTTTGGATACGCTGGTTGCACATGTGCTGATAAGATAGTATTTGAAAAGTTATGCCGAGGGCGGTGAAGATGGTGGGGGGAATTGGCCGCCCCATGTGCGCAGGTATATATATATCCTGACCGCCTACTACCTCCGGATAAAAGGCAACGGCGCGACCGGCCAATTGATGTTCCGGGATCGACCCCTCGTCTGACTGGCCGATATCGCCATCGCCATCGCCATCGCCATCAAAGTCACAAACTTTCCGTCGCAGACATATACCAGCAGGGAGGAATTCTCAGCGCAAGAATTGCGACATCACAACAAACAATATGACGAGTTCAGCTCCGACAGAATCTCAAAAATTCCTCTCCACCAGAGGTGGTGACTATGGCGTTCGTCCTCTCAGCATGAGTCATACCTTGACGGTTTACTGATTGTACCTAAGCTCTCGTTCGAGACTGTTGTCTTGAAGGGACTCGCTGCGGATGGCGGTCTTTTCTTGCCTCACGAAGTCCCAATCGCCCATGACTGGGTATGTATGCCCAATGGCGCATAATTACTCTATGCCGGGGTCTTCATTTCTGGCCTTCGAAGCGATTCCCAGGAATTTGAGGCTAATATTAGATCGCAGCAAAGTTGGAAAGATCTCTCCTACGCAGAGCTCGCCTTCAAGATCTTTAGCCTCTATATCTCCCCCTCCGAAATCCCCCCAGAAGACCTGAAAGGCATCATTGAACGGAGCTACTCGACATTCCGTGCCGAAGATGTTGTGCCCTTGACGCATCTGCAGGATGACAACCTATATCTTCTCGAACTATTCCATGGCCCAAGCTACTCCTTCAAAGACTGTGTGTTTCCCGAGATCGTTCTGGTGTTATTGTGCTGAGACAATATTAGGTGCCTTGCAGTTTCTGGGAAATCTTTTCGAATACCTCCTCGTGCGGAAGAACCAAGGAAAGGTTGGAAAAGGTACGCGCTTCAAAGCCCCTAGTCTGTTGCAACGCAGTGGAGCTGACCAACTAGCAGATAGGCATCATTTGACAGTCGTCGGCGCGACGAGTGGTGATGTACGTTTTATTGGTGTGCCCTTCATTTAGCCTCGGGGTTAACCGTGTATACAGACTGGATCTGCCGCCATTTACGGTCTTAGGGGCAAGAAGGACGTGTCGGTGGTCATCTTACATCCTAAGGGCCGTGTCAGCCCTATCCAGGAGGCGCAGATGACCACCTGCACAGACAGGAATGTCCACAACCTTGCCGTGACGGGAACGTTTGACGATTGCCAGGTAGGTTCTGAGCGTATTGGAATCGCGGGACAAAAAACTCACAGAGTACCAGGATATCGTTAAGGCTATGTTTGGTGACCCTGATAGCAACCAGGCCTTGAAGCTCGGTGCTGTCAACTCGATTAACTTCTCGAGAATCCTCGCTCAAATCGTGTTCTATTTCTACGCCTACTTCTCGCTTGCTAGAAAGTCCCCGACGTTCAAGGTGGGTGACAAGGTCAGATTTGTGACCCCCACTGGAAACTTCGGCAACATCCTCGCGGGTTACTTCGCAACCAAGATGGGTCTCCCCGCCGACAAGCTGGTCGTGGCCACGAATGAGAACGATATTCTGCACCGCTTTTGGACGACTGGCCGCTACGAGAAGAACCCTGTTCAGGAACAGAACGCTGATGGCACCGTGAAAGCCGACGCTTGCAAGGAGACACCAAGTCCTGCAATGGATATTCTGGTCTCCAGCAACTTCGAAAGACTCATGTGGTTCCTCGCAAAAGGTATGTTCTACGCGATAGTAACATTTTGATTTCATGCTGATTGATCATAGAACAAGCAGCGGCAGCCGGCCTGGACGACACGTCCAGTAAAAAGAAGGCCGGTGAAGAGGTTTTGGCCTGGTACCAATCATTGAAGGCCACTGGCGGTTTCGGCCCTGTCGACAAGGATTTGTTGGAGAATGGACGGTCGACTTTTGACAGCGACCGTGTCAGCAACCCAGAGACCGTGGAGACTATCAAGTCCTGCTATCAGGAGACCAAATACGTTCTTGATCCCCATTCGGCTGTTGGAGTTACCGTTGCGAAGAGATCCCTTGCTAAGACTGGCTCGAACGTCCATCACATCTCGCTCTCCACTGCTCACCCCGCCAAATTCTCCGAGGTCGTTGAATCAGCTCTGAAGGGCGAGGCCGGCTTCAACTTCGATGAACAGGTGCTTCCTGATGAGTTTAAGGCTTTCGCGCAAAAGGAAACCAGGGTCACAACAGTTGAGAACTCGTGGGAGAAGGTCCGGGAGATTGTGAAACGCCAGGCTGAAGAGGACATCAAGGCCGAGAGCAGCGCTTAAATCAAAGGTTTACGTGAGACGAATTGTCTAGGCCCCACTGCCTGACATTAATAGACATCTTTTCTTTTTTCTTCCAAAAATACCAGGTTTCATTTGCTGTGTGCTTATTGTTTCGCGGGCACTGGGACACCAGCCTTGCCAAGCCTTCACACATAGATACGAAATATAGACTATAAAATATCCTTCCCTGACGCTTTAAATACTACCAAAAAATGTCGTCTGATATATAAGCCAATACGGACTGTTCCAATGCAGCTAGTTACATGACGAACGGGCCACGATAGCGTCTTAGCCTCGATGTGTGAAAAGCCTATAACTAGAAGAGGGCTTTGCCCTTCAACAATACGTAGGGGCTGTACGTCGTTACGGGATGGCTTGTCTACTTCGTAGCTGGTCAGTTGTTGACATGTCTATCACTGGTCCTGCAGTCGTGATGCACATGAGCAATGGAACCCTAATTGGTGATGCGCGCGGATGGGGCTGAAGGAACAAACTTGGTGATAATATCTTAATCACACCTACCTTTCCTACCTTGAGAATTATTTCAACGTTGATTTCAAGTTGTCGGCGTCCAAGTATTTTAGTAGAGATATCGCTGAAACCCTAGTGAACAGCAAGATATAAGAAACGCGAGATTATACTACAAGAAATAACAGTTATAGAGTTCACTTGCCAGAGGAATGTGCATTCAATGTACGGTAGAACGAATATATCCACTAGATGCAAGCAAGAAAACTAGACAGACATACCATTTGTTGTTAACCAGGAGGCGACAATAGCCCCGACCTATCTATCAAGTGTCGAAAAAGAATAGAAATAAACGCATCATCGCAGTCTCGGGATTTCCACCTAAGAGTTTTGCATTCTGTTCCGTCTTCGTTGTGGCCAATCACCTGTCATATATTGACCATGTCCAATGAGTTTTTTTACAAGCGGTGGTTTACTCACATGCGGGTTAAGGTTATGGCCATGGTTCGTTCCAGGGTTGGTACAGGGTTAGTTGAGAGGCCGTCACACCGTCCTTTGTGTATCCAGTAGGTGAGTGCTTTGCAGCTACTATGCCTATCACATAGACCTAGGCATTCATGGAGCCCTTTCGTCCTGCCAAGATGAATCCCACCTGTATTCACTACTTGGGCAAGTGCTATTCATGGTTTAGGAACGGCCTTCAGTCGCTTTCACTGAGGGCAAACTAGTATGAAACTCACCTCTCCTACACCAAGCCCTATAGGGTTTGCGACTCCTGCTGATATAGATGGACGGGTTCTCCCCGCGACCGCCTAAACAAGGCAAGTAAGCGGTTGCAACAAAATAGGGCCACAGTCTTTGCAGACGCTTACAATTCACAAGGTCTGCCTCTTTCGCCTGCAGCTGCTGCCGCATGGATGTGGTCCTCATTTCACAGTCCTCATCAGTAGCTTCCAGGCACTGTGCCCACGCTTCATCCACCTCATCCTGGCAATCAGGCTGAGGATGAAGGCTGGGAGAGTCACCAGGGACTGGCGCGGTTCGATCTGTTCGGACCAAAAGCAGCCACTCGCCATGTCGATCAGGCATCTCCACGAACCCTGCCGTAGCTAAGAAGCACCTGCCCCCACTCTTACTGTGACTAGTCCTTGGCTTCCACGAGGCGGCATGACATAAGCCCGTCTCGGAGCACTTCTTGGCACATTCATAAGCGTTCAAGACCTCGTAGTACATGACGTTGGTATTTGTGGCGTAGTAGTTACAGAGATATTCATAGATGACTCCATCGACGGATTCCTCTTGTCGGCCAGTTTCGAGGCAGCAGGTGGCTTTATTGGGAGCTCCACCGGTACTAGCTGGAGAGAGACATGTTGGGGTTTGCTGGCTCCAAGTGGGTGTGAATACAAGCGCAAGGAGAAGAAGCCCTGATCTGGAGGTCATGTTAAAATAGTGAGATCGCGTGATATATATATCTAGATAGGGAGAAAGACAAACTATTTCCAATAGCGGGGTGTTTCCTATTTACGAGGCATATGCAGGAGGACGTCCATACACGTGAGCCGGAATGGAAAAGAACGCCTCCATGATGCAATAAAGTTTAAATATTATGTTTGTGATCCAGTACAAGGCTTAGATTTGGGACATCCCCAGGATACAACCATGGTATCACTCATTTTTAAGTTCTATATAAAACTCTGCATAAACCAAACC